GGGGGTCACGACGTGTGCCAGACCGGCAGAAGGGGTTGCTGCAACCCCCAAAATTAGGGCACGGCTTTTGGGGTTTGCTGATCCAATTTATGGGGGATGCGTACCCAGCCCCCAAAAAATAATATGAAAGAAAAACAGACCAATATTTTTCAAGGAAATACTCAAATTAAAACCACACAACCTATTCCCCCTGCATCCCTAGGACAAAGGATGAAATGGCAGGGATCACCTTGAACTTGTGGGTTTCTCACTCACAAGGAATTGTTTGTGTCATTTCTCCAACAGGGGCCCACCCCTGTGTCCTTGCCACAGAATCAAGGTGTACACCACATTTATCTGCAGCAGAAATCTCATTGTTTAATTGATTCGAAAAAATGTTTTTCAGAAACCAATTAGTCAATTTTCTCACCTGTGAATACAAGGCATCCTGTTGGTATCTCAGTTATTTGATTCATATAGGTGGCTTTTTGTTAATAATCTGATTGGGGTTCACAGTCCTTGTTTTTTTCAAAACATATTCAAGTGGTTATGCAGTGTATTTTTTTTTGAAGACAAACTTGTAGACTGTTTGAAGGATATTTGGATTTCTTCCAAATAAATGGCCGGGGTCTTAGAGAAAAGCTCCTTGATTAACTGGTTATCTTATGGTGTCAAGTTAAGAAGGTGTCGTTGGGTGAGGTAAGCTTCAGGATTGGGTACAACAGCTTGGGTCCTCTCATACAGTCTGGTCCATCTTGCAAGAAAATCTGGTATGATTGTGGCTCCCAGATGTGAATTCACGTTGGTAAGACTCCTACCCTCTTGAGCTAATTTGAAAGCCAAGTATTTCACCTTGGTGGCATATTCCTGGAAAACCATGACTGTGAAAAGAAAATCAAAATTCTGAGATTAGTGAAAAAGTGAAAAGGAAGGTTTTGTACTGTGGGAATTGAACCCACAGACTCAGTATTCATGATTGATTCTCTTTCCATTGAGCTAAGTACACATTTATAATTTGTTGGTTTGTGTTGAGTAAATTAGTTGTGTTGGTGTTTTGCCTCCAATGCTTTCAGGAAGTCTCACAAGGGTGTTTTTTTCTATGAAGCAGTGACTAGTTTGAAACTTCAACATATATGACTATGATTATAGGAAAGGAGAGAAAATACCAAAATCAAGTGGTTTTTGTTGTCATATGAGGTGCTGTGCTGGTGGTGAATTGTCCTGTTTATTGGGGAGGAAAATGGGTGGAGGCAACATCCAGTGGTACAGTTTAGTAATTCCAGGTCTTATTTTATCTTATTTCAGCTCATAATAGATGCTAGTCTAATCAAAAAAACTAAAACTAATGAATCAATACGATCAGAATAAGAAACAGAAAAAATACTTGAAAATAAATTAAGTACCTTGACTGAGGAACAAAAATGAAAAATTTCTTACACTGAGATAATGAGAATTGGTAAAAGTGTTTATGATAATTAAAGAAAAGGAGAAGGAAAAAGTAAGCAAAGATGATAAATGAATAATTAAGGATCAATTGAGAAATTTTAAGATTTTGAGCAAGGATTTTCAATTCAACTACACCTAAACACACTTGCGCTCCTTCTGAAGTTCATTGCTGGATCCAAGTATTTTTCAGGTTGAATAGACAGAAAACTGTTGTGACAGTTTATGAAGGAAATCAATGAGAAGGGAGTTCTTTCTTGAGTTTTTGAGTTGGATTGAAAAGGAAAAAATTGAACAGTGAGGAACAAAGGTTTCGATTGTGGGAGTTGAGTTTTGAGGTGAGATTAGGTTTGAAATCTGCAGGTGGAAACCATTTTCTGTGTTAGGATTATTCCATAACATACAGTGCCCAGAAATATACTTTCATTAATACAAAAAAACATTTAATTCAAAAGTGAGATCATTAGTAATCAAGATAATTTTTGGGCCAAGGAACATTGAGCTAGTGAAATTGATTATGAAGTCAGAAATTTAAATTATCAACATCCTCATGATTGATTAATGTTTCTGATCCTACTAGGAAACAAAAGAGAATCATATTTTTAAGAGATAAAAGAACAAAAATGAGGGTGAGATAGCTGAGCATTCAGATAGAATGAATATAAAAAAATAAGTTGGAAAAATTGAAAAATAAAAAAATAAAAAAGATGGACCCAGAGGTTTTCAACATTGAGTTGGGCCTCCATCTGCATCTATGACAGGCAGTTTCCAATGCTTTTATTTGATTATATTCAGCATTATTTGTTGTGGGAACTTGTTCCAGGATTTTTCAAGGGCTCCATGCATCTCACTGACAGATTTTGGATGGTAGAGCTCCTGAACATTGGTCTTGAGACCTTCCAAAAGTTTTCAATTGGATTATGGTCCGGAGGCTGAGGTGGCCAGTTGAGGAGTTTTTTTATTTTGGCTTGAGATAGAAATTCAGATGAGAGCATTTCTTTGTGTACCGCAGCACCGTATTCCATGAGAACTAGATTGAGGGAGCAGTCTAGGGCATGTTTGTGTAGAAATAGCACTTAGCCAGGCTTTTAGATATGCTGTATGAAGTCAGATGCCTTTTGATACTTTGGAGGTATAAAGACCTGGGTCTTAGGTGTTTGAATTCCAATTAGCTTCAAGGGCTGACTTGATTTACCTCAAGTCTTGGTTGTTAGTTTTGCATGGATGTCCAGATTGTTTGGGGTTTTCAAGAGTGCCTCAATCCAATTTCTTCTTCAATATGGAATTCAAAGTTGATTGAGGCAGCTTTGAGAGCCAAGAAACTTGAGATATGCCTTCCACTCAGTCATCAAGTGTTTTCTCTCTTTATTTTGAATTATAAAAAACCTAGAAGCAATACATATTTAGATGATGTATGACTGATTTTTATGATACTAGAAATGTCTCACCTGTTTAGTATTAAAAAAAAAATTGAAAATGGTACAATCAACCAATGGCAGCTTGACTTGGGCCACATGCTCCATCACTATGAACTTTAAAAAAATATTTCCGGCCACTGTAAAGCCAAGCAGCAGAAGAGTTGGCACTGCGGGGGTATCTGCTGCCACCCCAGCCATTCTGGCTTGGGAAAAAAAATACACAGAAAAAAAAAACAGATTTTGAAATCCGCAGCCTTTGTTGGGTTGGCTGTAGAAACCTATCTTTTTGCTTGAATCAATTAGAGAATGCGTGTTGGTTGAGCTAGGACTGCAAGTTTTAACTTGCGGCTATTTCTAAGTTGGAGTAGCGACCCCTGTTCAGTTGCATTGGTGTTGCTTTGTGTGGGTTATTTTGGATTCAAGTTCTGTTGGGTGGTAGGTGAATCCCAATTTGAAGTGCAAGAAATGGATGACTTGAAAATAATATTATTGGCTTCTCAAATTCCTAGATTTTCATTTCTGTTTCTCCAATGCATAAATTAAGATCCTTCAACACCTCTGAGAAAGATGAAACATTGAATCACATCATAATACCACTGTTAAGCTACATGCTATTTTCATATTTTGTAATTAATACTGAAAAATACTTCCCTCTAAAGCATAATGGTAAAGTCAATTGACCTGTATCTTGAGAAGGAGCAGCAAGATTCCATTAAGCATTGTGAAAAATATTACACAGAGTTGAACAATGCAATTGAGCTTGCTTTGAAACAGAACTTCTGGAGAAGGGATGAAGATGAAGAGGCTATCATTGCGCTTTTGGCCCTTGGATATCTTGGAATGCCTCTCTTGTTCAATATGCACCTACCTCACGTAAGCAAATATCCCCACCATGATTGACCCAGCTTGTGCTTGCTTTTGGAGGTCCTGAAATATTAGAATTAACAGTGAATTTCTGAATTTAAAGACCAAGATAAAAAAGAAACAAGAAGAGTCAATATAGGAAGAAAACAAGCGAAGAGAAAGCTGAGTAGAGAAAGGAAGCATACCGCCAACTATATGAAAATATATGAAAAGGATGAAGAAAATTGATTCAAGCTATGAGAGACGGTGAGGGTGATCTAAGAACAAGAGTGAGATTCAGTTTTCTAGGGATCAAACAGAAAGAGAGCGGGAAAGAGATGAAAAAGAGAATCAAACAAACATCACGGTAGGCAGCAAGAGTGAGAATGGAAGAGGAGATGAGATTAGGAAGTGTATCAACCAGGAAAAATGTTACTGATGTGATTGCTTGAGTTGATTGGAGTTGAGGGTAGAGACACGTCTTGAGGAGTCTTGAGGATTAGAATTTTTTTTTTTTTTTTTTTTTGAGATTGAGTTTGATGCTTCTTTCTTGAGGATTGATCTTAGGATCTATAAGGTTCTTAGTCCTCCTAATAAGCTCACAAAAAAACCCAACCTCTTGTCACAAGATGATGACTAGGATTTGAACAACTGAGGTTTAAGCTAGTTGTTTGAGAAGATGTGAGACAGACGTAATCAGAAGGGTTTCAAGCAGAAAACTCAACATGAAACAACAGGGCCTTCATCACCACAACGGGTGTGGATTTTTCCACTTTTGAAGATCTTCTAGGCATATTTTCTTACTGATGTAACTTCAACACCATCAGTCAATCTGATGTGGACCCCCACAGCAAGCCCCAGATTGGGCAGCAATTTTTATATTCTTCTGGCTGCCTGGTCCTATTCTTGAATTGGTTATGCTTAACTATGGCCATGTAAACCCTACAGCAGCACACCCACTGTATGTTCATGTTACCTGTTGACCGAATTACAACACTTGTTTTCTAGCCTCCAGGAGCACCCTCAAGAACTTTTTTTACAGCCAACTACCAAGAGAAATGCCTGCTGCCACAGAAAGAAGATTTAGAGGAAGTTCCCTGGGCTCACAAACTGTATTGGTTTTGTGGACGGCTTGAATTTGCAAGTGATGGTGAGTGAGCTTTTTCTTCATATCATTGGCTAGATATCTCAGCCAACCAAGCCTCCTTCCTTGTAGCCTTCAAAATTCTTACCACAACGGATGGACCTCCTTGCATTATTGAAGCTTTGTCCTTGCTTTTGCCCCTGATATAACAATAATGTATGCCATGCTCAATTCCCCCATGTGAGCCTGCACCTCTTATATGGCAAGAAGGACAAAAGGACATGTAGGAATAATAACAAAAATGAGAAGAAAAGATTTTTATTGATTTAATAGCTTATGGAGAATTGGAATTTGTTGATGGTTTTTATGCATCTATAATATGAATTAAGCAGAGAAGATATACAACACCTCTTTGTAAAAAGAAACTGAGGAAGGTCTGTATATTAGTCAGTTCAATTTTTTAAGCCTGATATAATGGCTAAGGGTCTTTAAAAAGGAAAACCTGTAGTTTTGTTTAAGGTAACAAACCACAAAAAAAACAAGAGAGGTGAATGGGAAGATGGCAGATAGCCAAGAGGAGGTAAAGTAAGAGAATCCTTAAAGAATCAGAAAGAAAAGAGGTTAGCCAGAAAGGAGACTCACTTTAGATTT